GTCTCTGTCTCTGTCTCTGTCTCTGTCTCTGTCTCTGTCTCTGTCTCCCTCCCTCCCTCCCTCAGATACCACCAGAGCAGGAACCCTGAATGCCATTGCAGTACAAACATCTGAGCGCATGTACTTTCCACCTGAGTTTGTTTCGTAGGTGTTCTTTTGTATCAACCGAAACTAGGCCGCACCTACCAATGCTCGTATCCAGCAAGCAACTGGAAGCAGGATTGCGGCCAAATGTTTCCTGCCGAGCTGCCAAAAAAGAAGCTTTGAAGCCAAAGGAAAGCATCATCAATTCCATCATCATCGTCGTCGACGCCATCGTCATCATCGTCATCATCGTCGTCATCATCATCCTCGCCGTCGTCGTCTTCGTCGTCATCATCATGCATCACTGTATCATCGTACCATCGCGCCATCGTCACTTGAAGACTTGGGGGTGAACGAAAGCTGCAGTAGCCACTGCTGGGCACAGTTTGTTGCTCTGACGGAAGAGCAGTGTGATACTGAGCAGGGTGGCAGCCTCGAAGCAAGGAGCTTGGGGTGGTATCCACTGAGGTATTCCTTGATGAGATCTTTGATGCAGCATGAAGGGCTTCTGGTTGTGAGGGAAATGGGGTCCATGGGGGCTTGGGTGGATGGCCATGAGGATTCAAAACCATGAGATTTAGTTGGGCTTTGCCTCGCTGTTCATGGCATGGGTTCATGTGATTTCACCATCAGGTGTTTAATGGGAAAAACTATGGGATCAGGGGTCGCAATAGATCAGGCTCGAGCAAAAGCAAATCAGAAGCAGGATCATTAGCTCAGATTGTAATGTTGGCATTGATGATGAGTGGTATTGGAGGCAGGGCATGGTGGGAAAGTGTTCATGAGGCAGCTTGGTCAGCTGCTGGATGGGAAGCTCATGGCCATCTCCAAGGGTGCATCAGACCTGTCATACTCAGCCAGCAACACTGAGAGGAGGGTGGATGAGGGAGGTGGCCAAGTACAAAATAGGTTGAGGCATTTGGTTCAGAGGGTGGTTGATTTGAGGGGCTAGAGTTTTGATGAGCCTTGTCGTGCCTTGCCCCATGCACATGAGGAGGGCCATGATGAGGGATTTGCTACTCATGGAGTATGACGCCACAAGGGCTGGGCACCATCATCATGAGATCATGTGGGTTTAGGGATTGTGTGGGGAGTCGTGGAATGAGCTACTGTAACCACGAATGTAATGTAGTCGCTTAAGAAAAGAGAGTACAAGTAGGATACAAATGCAATGAGACGTAGCACCCCCACACGTGCCATTACAAGCAGTGTCACACATGCTACAGAGCAGGAAGCCTCAAGGCAACACACTTCAATGACAACAAAGGCACGAATCGGCACGAAAAGTATGAATGCAGTACGAATCAGGGTAGCCGATCAATTAGTGCACTAGCTCTGGCAAGGACTTGTGCACGCGTCGGGCATAAGCAAATCAGAAGCTCAGATTGCAATGTTGGCATTGCTGATGATGAGTGGCATTAGACGCATGGGCATGGTGATGGCATACTGTGGGAAAGTGTTCATGAGGCAGCTTGAGAGATAAGAAGCTCATGGCCATCTCCAAGAATCTCCAAGAGAGCATCACACTCGGCCAGTAATTCATCCGTCCGCAGGGGGGAGTGGAACCCGCGAAGGGGGCGTCCATAACATTGATTTAATCAATGATTTGAGGTCTTTGAGGCTGCCGTCCACCCTCTCATTTCCAAATGGTAGCAATGCGTGTGTACGAGTGCTTGTATGGACTTTGCACAAGCAATCTACTTGAGTCAGGGTTGCCCCAGCCTTTCCACATGCTATATCTTCCTCTTCTATTAATTGATAATACGTATAATTACAGTACATATATGTGCACTGAATAGAATCGGCCATTTAGTAGTAACGAAAACGCGAGAATCCTGGGTGTTGGGGGCCAGAACGAAGGTGTCGTTTCCTTCCTGCGAGGTCTCCTGCTCAAAGACCTTCCAGGCGGCACAGCATCCTGCGAGGTCGAGAGGAGCTGCACCAATGGAGGGTGTCTTCAGTCAATGGCTATGACAAGGTTTCGTTGAGTTGCAGCGGGTGTCCTACAGTTTTAGAGTTATCTTTGTAAGAATGTGCAGGGAATTGTATGGGTGTAGTGTGGTCTTTCTTCAATTCTCAGTTGACAAACCAACTGGGTGGGCCAGTTCGGATTGATCCTCTTCGGCGCCCGTGCCGGCGCCTCCTGCAAGCAAGGTGCCAAGGCCACTGCCTCGGTCCAAGTGGCTGACACTTCCCAAGATCATTGGTGACGCTGAGACAAGTCCCAAAAGTTGTTGGAATTCTCACCTTGTGTGTGTTATTCGGAATTCTCACCAGAAGCCACGCCGCCACGTCTTCGTCACACTTCCCTAAGAGTCACACAATTCGATTCGTCGCATCTTCGTTCAGTCGAAAAATGGTGTCACGGACCGCGGGGTTCGAGAACCGCTCGAGGACGGTTTTGCTCCACTCATCCTGGCGCTCTGACCGCGTGTTTGACAAAGCGTGGTGCCGAGCGTGACCTTTTGCTGTCTTCTTAGTCTTGTATTGATCTCATCATATTCTTATCGCATATGATAGATCTTCATATTGGTCTCGTATGCAGCAACTTGATGCAACTTGTGCGGTGAATTCCGATCAACATCTTTTCCAGTTGTCCCTTGCCACACAAGCACTCTGCTGTGCTGCTGCTCCTTCTTCAGCCCCTTGACAGGGCGTACTGTCTGGCCTGCAGCTGCCATGTATGCCTGGGATGGCAGTTGGTTCAACAGAAACAAGAATAGTACATGAGGAGTTGTGTAGGAGTTATTCCGTCGATGCGTTTGTGCTTCTCACCACATACACTGCTCGAATTCATTGAAATTCTATGAGGAAAGCTGATAAGCAGCTTTCAGCTGGAAGACAGTATATACAGTACCTGGTGTGGTGCCTGCATGTGCCTATGAGGTGTTTTAATCTTGAACTATTCCCAAACCACGGTGCCTTGAGAAACTTGAAAACGCGAGAGTCGGCCATAGCTTCATGAACGACCTCATGTCCAAGTAGTGACGCAGGATAGGCCAGAGCCTGGCATGTCGAGGGAACGGCTATTCCTTGGCAACCCTGGACATTGCCAGAATGTTGCATCTTGAATTGCCAGGGTGTATATTGCGTCTCTTTCCCCCTTCAACTGCCTGGTGAACCGCATTCAAAAGCCGCAGCTTCAAGAGTTCCTCGGTGCGGAACGCCGCACCAGAAAGACCGTTGACCACTTGACCACTCCAAATCAACAAAGTCTTGTAGATGGAGGGCTAATGGAGGCTATATTATCATTGGCATCCTGCTCCTTACTACAAAGACTCCTCTATGGGCCCTAGGTTTTGTCAATGGCTTAACTATATATAAAACTGCTGCCAAACTGGAGTACGATGAAGCATACATGTTGTCTTTCCAGGTTGGGGTTATCTCGCGATGCCAAAGCCTTTTGGGCGGCTTTCGCTCTGAGAAGGTCAAACTCTCTTACATGCGCAGATCATCAACCCTTCTGATTAAGTCTTCAAGTCATTCTAAATTGCTGGTCATTTGCCTTTCGGGTGTTATAAAGAGAACAGCCTGGTGGCCTCTCAAGAAGTCTTTGGCCCCGATCAGATTCAGTTCGGCATCGCCCAGGGCCCTCGGGGAGCCAACGTACGGAAGCACGTCTTCGACGAAGAGGCACTTGCCGCTTGGCGACCTTGGTGTGCAACTCCAAACTTACCAAGGATCCTTGTCAGACAATATCGCACAACAAACAATTCATATCCGCAACTAATACCAGCACTTAGGATTGAACCAAGAGCCCTGAAGGGGGCGTACCTCTGATATTTAGATATATATATATATATATGTCTATATATTTGTGTTGTTAGACTTGTTGTGTGCATGTTGATCTGATCTGGGCGGTAAACTCGAGAGCTATCAGCAGCAAGGAACATGTGTTCAAAGCATCGAATCGAGACTTGTGGAGTGTTGCAGACATACCGCATGGCATTCATCCGTACGATTCAGTGCATGCTCAAATGAATGTGGCGATGGGTCTGCGGTCCATTTATAAATGTGTATATATATATATGTATATAATCTACTTAGGGTCCATCGGCGCCCAAGGCCCCAGCTTGTCCCAGGATGGTCGTCCAGAGGGAAACTTGTCCTGCACGGACCAATCTAGTTTTACAAGCCCAGTGGTTTCTGGTGTCAGAAATTTGCCCATGACAGTTTTCCGTCCAAAAAAACGGCACTACTGTAAATTACAGGGTGCTAACGAAGACCCTTCTGGAGGGTCCAAATTCGTTATTCAAGGTTTGCATACACTGCGACTCATATACTTCATCGTACTTGTTTATTTGTTGCTTGCAGCTGAGCTGGCATGTGAAGCTGCACAACCATGCAATCTTGTAGGAACACATGAACCTGGAAACATGATGAAATATGAACGTGCCAAACAATGGCTGACACGACCAGCTCCCTCAGCTCCACCCACCTCGACCACCCAGAGCAGGAACTCCTCGCCTTGAATTACAATTGCAGCTGAAACATGGATCGTCTCACACATGGATCCATTCCCATCCACTCCCCCATTCCTTACTAAGTGCATCTAAGTGCTAAGTCAGTCTTCTGTCCAGAAATCACAACCCATATCCACCATCGACTTCCAAGTGCCCGAGGTTCCTGATTGTTAAGCACCTTGCTGAGGGACATGAGAAAAGCATCGGCCCTGCATTCCCACAGAAGCTGTGCCAAGGGAACCGACTGACCACAGGCCATCCGTCTTCAACGCCGTACTTCTCTTTTAACTCAGTCTTCACCTCCTGGCTTCACTTTGTGCGCAACACCAAGTATTCTTGTGATTGGGGTTTCCTGCCAAGGTGCTGTCACAAGTTGGCTGGTTTCCTTAGTGTTTGTGGGCGCAGTGGTCGTCGTAAGCTGCAAGTGCTCACCCTCGCTTGCATGCTTTGCGGCAGGAAACCTCTCAAGCCCCTCGACATTCTCGAAGATGCCCCAGCGAAGTAGCCAGGCTGGTGCGCTAGCGACCGCTTTCCGACACCGTGGCCCCAAGCAGAAACCTTGGCACTTAAATACAGTAAGTATAAGTGTCTCCCTTCCAGTGGCTCCCTCCCTGCTCCCTGTGGGCATCAGATCGCAGCAACCGTGCACACCAATATGGAATGGCAGCTTCTCGCTGTCACTTGAATGGGTCTACATAGGTGTATCCAAACGAACACCAACCGGGTGTACCAGGCCGTGCCGTCTCCATCATGGCTAAAAGCACTGATTGGGTACAGTTTCTTCAGTTCCCCAACAAACCACTATTACGCATTATTCTTCCTTTGGTGGCGATAGGCAATAAGACTGGGTTTCACGTATTGTCAACCCGTTGGGGACCCATACAATAATTCACATTCGACGGTCTGGCTGCCAAAAAAATTGTTGCATCTTTAAAAAATCAAGATGGAACCGACAAGTCCGAACGCACACACGCACTCCCAAGAAACGGCGCCAAACAGTTTGTGTCTTTCGAAATCGGAACACTCTGCAACTAGAGCCTGCGACGCCGAGAGCTGGGAGACAAAGGATTGCAAGGCAGAGGCGGCCACAGCAGTCCAGAGCTGGGAGACAAATGTAGACACAGGGAGACAAATGTAAAGGATTAGGCGGACACAGCAGTCCAGAGCTGGGAAGAAGAGGAGACAAATGAAAGGAAGCGGGAGACAAGACAGCCGGGAACCCGACCGCAAGCACCCAGTGTGGGAGACAAATGAAAAGAACTGGGAGACAAGTGAAAAGAAGTGGGAGACAAATGAAAGGAAGTGGGAGACAAGCCAGCCGGGAACCCGACCACAAGCACCCAGTGTGGGAGACAAATGAAAAGAACTGGGAGACAAATGAAGGGAAGTCAGAGACAAGCCGGCCGGGAACCCGACCAGACCATCCAGCACGAAGGCGACCATTCTTTAAAGCATTGAGAACCCCTAACAGTAAACTGTTTGGGGAAAAATCAAGATGGAACCGACAAGTCCGAACGCACACACGCACTCCCAAGAAACGGCCAAACATGGTTTGACACTCTGGTGGAGTGTCCCACGCCGACACTCTTGTAGGACACTCTTGGCGCGACACGAGTTCTGTGCGTCCGAAGACCCGAAACCAAGTCGCGCCGAGCAACGTGACGCGAACCACGCGAACAACTCCAGTGACACGAGAACCGCGATCGCCTTCGGGAAAACATACCAACAACTTGTAGACAAGTTGCATCATTTGAAGGAATAGCATGCTTCAGCTCTTGAACTAAGGAATCGTCCAAAGTGAGGAAGAAATGGATCGAAACATGTCGAAACGGTGTCACTCCGAAGTTTGGTGGCGCAGAAAATACAGCGAACCGATGCGAACCTTCGTTTCTTGGGGCTGCGTCGAGTTGTGGTTGGCAGAATTTTGCCGGGTCCCCGTAGCCACTCATTCAGACACCCCGTAACGATCCCCCTGTAGCTTGGAGTGGAGTCGATGCATCCTGGCTGGACCACTTTGCCGAGCCCATGGTCGATGCTGTGGGCAACTTGCAAACTAGATCTGTTACAGGCAACTTGTTGCATGCGTGAAAGGATGGATGCTGCGTGAAGCGCCCGACAGAACATCCGTCGTTCCTAGCTTGTTGGATCGAGATCGATTCTGGTGCCAGGCCCTTTGCGATCATTTCTGGAGCAAGCAAACAAATGATAAACAAAAAAATATCGTGCGCGGTCTCACTTCTTTAAAACATGAGCTGCTGCATGCCGCAGTGAACAAATGTGCAAATAGCTCCTCCGTGGTGGCTGGCGTGATCCGATCCACCATGGAGTTGGGAAACCTCGGGTACTGTCCCCACCGTGGACCCCTCATCTACTGAAGACTGCCCTGAAACAAGGAATCATTCGTACTTTGAACATCCAACACTTGGTGTCATGCTGGAAGTGAAAGATCTTGCATTCAAGACCCAGCAACCTTCTACTACTTAATAGATCCCTGCGGGGGCATGCCGAACTGGGGCAGTCAAGCTGCTGCACGTTCTCAGAGATCCAAGCCTTCAGGCCACTGTCCACCTCTCCTGGCTGAAACAAGGAGTTTGGCTGTTCAATGCTGCTCATAGAAGACAAACGTGTTCCTGTCAGGAGTGTCTTTTAGCCGCCCGCCCTGGTGTTGACGAGAAACTGTAAAACCACTGGGCATGGACCTAGTGCACGTCAAAAAGCAATCTGAGGATGCATGTATCCCTGTCTCCTGCCATTTCAAGTACTGCTGCCTTGGCCTTGCATCCATTCTCCTGCCCAACATCACCATGTTCAACTCGGAGATCCCTGCCGCCTTTTCACCTTTATGTTTATGAAACGAACTGCTTTACGTATCGTTGCACCAATTCAATGAAGATATCTGCCCCCTTGTCCAGGGGTAGACTGGCAAAGCCTCGTGCAATGTAGAGTTTTACACTCGGCTTCAACAACACATCACCAGCTGTGTCACCAGCATTGAGGTGTCCACATTGGCTGAAGACAACGGTTTGCACCCGGATGGGTTGGGGTACATCATTACATCCAACAGCAAAGTAGCAGAACAATACAGTGACTCCCAAGCCAAGAAAGGTGCAGCAACATTAGGTATGTAATCAATCAAACTCAAAAACTGTTTCTTTCCAGTACGTAGCGTACCACTGGCTCCTGCAAATTATCGCAGCTCAGGATGACAAAGCCCGGAGCCTTCTCTGCCTGTCTTCGCTTGGCCTGAGAAAGTCCGTCTCAGCGCGGAGTGGCTCCGTCGCCGACAGTCTTAGGGACCGACAGCAGCGACTAAATATCCTGGTCAGATTGGCAGATCTGCGCGGCTTTTGTAACTGACTGGAATCGAGAAAACATCGATTCCAAAAGGACTTAAAGGCATATAGAAAGGCTCTGCAAGCATGGAGTGTAGTCTCTGGGTACCTCACATTGCCTCATATGCGTTGAAAAGGTGTGCATTACCCCAAACTGATTGGTCTGACAGTGCTGAGGCGCAGTTCTTGACATCTTGACATGCTAGACCTAATATCGGTATTCCAAAGTTAGATGAATCACCACAGGTTCACACAGATTTGCTTGTGGCCGTGTTCACGGCCACAATCTCCTGTCCTAGTGCTGTCTTCAGACTAGCAGAGCCCGATTTCAGCGCCTCCAAATCACCTTAACTGTCAACATGCGGCCGAAGAACAACTGAAAGGTTGTGTGCATCTTCGCGCATCCGAGCCAATCTCAGAAATCTGGTACAAAAAAAACATCTGCAGACCAAATCATGACTCGGATTCGTATCACCTTCCAGATTCTCCAGGCGCAGCACTGGACACGGCCGGCGCCGAGCTGTCGAGCTTGCCCGTGGTGAAATCCACAAAATACCTCACCGACGTGTCGCCGGCATCGATCGGCTCCGCTTTGGACCGAAAGCAGACATGGCGAGATTTCGGGGCAAACCAAAGAGACAAAAATTGTGCGATGGGGCTCCGTCTCATGGGCTTCATGTAACCCGTCTTTAGCAAAGCCCTTCCTCCACCAGAGTAGAAAGCCATAGGAAACCTAATCGGCATCCGAATTCTGCCGAGCTTCCCCTTCTCGGTGATGGTCATGGTGACCTTGGGAGACTCTCTAAGACCCCACCGAGCAGGCGCAGTCTATCTATCGTAGTCCACACCCAGCAAACATTTTCGGGGAGCCCCACCATCAATTTCTGAATACTCTGAGCATCTGTGCGCCACAAAATATAAAAGGAGTGCAGACATGCTTTCAAGGTGCTATTTTGGTCTCAGCAGCACATAAGGCGTCCAAGACCTTCTCTGGACTTTCAGGTGCCAAGATAAAATCTGAATGGCATCCTTGGTGGACTGCGCGTGTGTGGACGGCAGGCCGTTTTGGAAACAGTGTGAACTTGAGAAGGGAAGCTGATCTGCTTGAGTCGACAAGTGACCGATCACACGGACACTTTCAGATGAAGTACCTCGTTCCGACAAAAAGAAACTCTTTCATGTTATGACAAGCGCTTGGAAATACGAAGAAATCATCACATTGTTCACCAAGAATGTCGTTTGGCCTTTACAACGTCAGCATACGCTCATTATAGATGGATAAAGACACCGCATCAAGCAGCAAACTCTGGCCTTTCTGCCACAAGGTGAACATCATATCCTGCTCCTCTGTCAAGACTAGCGACCACATCAGATGATCCAGTTGGCACAGGCATGCTGTGCAACTGCAAGTATCGAAGTTCAATGGTAAGTAATCTAAATTATATTACTGTTGGTTCTTCTTCTCGGCTTGCTTGTTAGTTTTGCAGGAACAGATCGAGTCGTGACGCTTTTCATAGATGTCCTCTCTTTGCCTTTAGCTGCTGGTCACACACACGCACACGCCATAATTTGGGTTGCCATTAGGTAGATGTGCGGAAGGTTCATTCGGCAAAGCAATGTCGCCCCGTGTCCTTCAGGACATCCCTCATCTTGGCATCTGCCGGCATCAAGCCAATGCCACGATACCCCCAGGATTCATGTCCTGCATTGGAAAGCAGGGCATTCAGCCTTAAATCCTTGCAAGTCCATGGTCGGCTTGGTTTGTCTGTTCCACTCACTCAGAGGTTTGTGTCTTTGGGGTTCGACCTTTCAAAATGGACTGCGCTGTCCTGGTAGTGACAAGGAGTCATCCACAAATACGCACTGATGAGCACGATGAAAATTACCAACTCCAATATGTACCTAAACAATCACAGATTCAAGCAAACTCCCAGCTGACACAATAAGGCTCATGTACCATCACGGCATCACATCCCCCAACAGGATGTGGTAATGCAGCAAACTGGTCCGTAGTACTTGACAGCCCTTTGAGGGTGATCTTCAAGTGATCTTCTCTCTCTGTGCCAAGAACCTTGACTGTCAAGCTGCAATTCCAGGCTCGACCTTCTCCCTGTCGTACTTTGGACAGGTCACCTTCTCGCCGAACCTCATTCTGCACTCATGTGAGGAGATTCGTTATATATCCTCTGTCAACAATCACAGAAGCTGACCAGAACCCCTCTTCAGGAGAATGAAACCATCCAGGGGCCTACGTTCCGCTTCCATGATAATCTTAGGTCAGACCTGGCTGCTACTCGTAGCAAGCACCTGTTTCACATGTCTTCCAGCCAAGCTTCTTGGTCAGGCTGCTTGTGCAAAGCTTCATGTCGTTGGAAACGGGAGAAGCAATGAAGACGTTTGAACCATTAAACAATGGAATTGTCTGAAAGCGTTATAGATATATATATATATATACAGTATATATATAACATCTTCCGAACTATATTCCTGGTACGCTGGCATCAATTCTTACGCTTTCTCTGATGTGGCTTGTTTTTCATCTGTATGTGATCCTTCATGGCTCTTATGGCCTGAACGCTGAAAGCTGCAGTGTGACTCATACATGCGCGGAGAGACCTTGTATCGAAGACACCCAACCCCAACCTGCCAGGACCTGCCAGGACCTGCCACACCATAAACCGGACCTACCTCAAACATTGCAGCAGTCAGGTTTGCTCTCCAAACGAGCGCCGCACTCCAACCTTGTGTAGATGTACCTTGCACTTGCTTGGTCCTCCACCAGCACTGGTCTGTGAGAAACTGGGGGTTGCCCTACCTCTTGCATGCTATGTGACACTTGGTGTATCCGAGTGGGGTGTGCTCACATCACAGCCAATGATACAATGATACAACCAGGTCAACAGGCAGTAAGCAGTTCACAGCCACAATATTCCTCCCCAAATTGTCTGATGACAGTGATTACTGTAGTGCCTGAGCTTGCAGCTTGAAGAAGCTGTTGGGACTTCTAGCACCACATTGTCTCTGTACGGGCTAGCCAGCTGTGCTGCATGGAAAGGATCTTGGGCAAACAAGATAGTGGTGTCATGGAATGGCAAGCTTTAGCACTGGCACACGTGTATTCCCCGCACCCCTGCACAATCAGGCGTCCTTGCCACCCTGCAGTCTTGTACCAAACTGCCCGGATGGGACAAACAAGTTAATATTGTTGGATCCAACCTCGGAGAGCATGCTGTGTGGCCAAAAAGTCCAAATCAGGATGGCAATGAGTCAAACATAGTCACACCACAGAAAATTGCACAAGAGGGAAAGGACCTGTTTTTTGATTGAGAAAAGTATATTTGAATCAGAGAGGGTGCTAGGTCCCAGACAAAGTTCTGGGCCATACCCACAATTGTACCTTGCCTCAGTCATAGGGTTAGCTCGCTGTGGGCCAGAAATACTGAAACTGACAACCATCAGAATATCCTTGTGAGCTTCGTAGGAGTTTCAAACGGATATCCAATGAGTGCTCCATGAAGGGCGAAACAATGAAGTCCATGACCATTGTCAATGGCATTGAGATAAGTGCAAGAGACCAAGCCAACGGATATATGTATACATAAAATAAGTCTATATTTATATATCGTTAGTTAGAGTTACATATTTGGGCAGCTCTAATGCAGCTCTATTGTGGAAGTATCCATGAAATCTCGCAGCCACGGCTGCAAAGTTTTGTAACTGAGCTTTGCACAGGGAAGCTTCTCCTCAGATGGACGCTGACAACGGTTTGGAGATTTGAGATACATCTGCTGGTTCTTGCAACATTGCTTAAACCCCGCTACATATAACTCATGACCACTGAACTTTGAAAGCTTCTGCACCCAAAGCCAGCTTGGCGCGACTGAGCCACCGTGATGGTAGGCGCTATGCTCTGCCACATAGCCAGCCTGGTAGAGGCCATTGCATTCGCAGCCCCACACAGTGAGCTGAGGAGATGAAAAGGCCAAAGTCTTTCAGCTTACGTCATGTGTCCCAAAAAAAATGACATTTAAAAAAGGAACTAAACCCGGTTGGCGTTTGAACCACCAACAATCAGAAACGGCATCTTCAGCTTTGGCAGTAACTACCACTCACTCACTACTCAGAACGTGGCAAATTGGGCAACTTTGATGTCTGACCTGACAGAGCAAAAGCTGGCATTCACCAGCTGTTGAGACCGATTTGCGATCTACAGTGCAGCAATCTTCCGCCGTTGCTCAACGTCCAATGCCATGTTTTCTCTATCCTCAACACGGGCTTCCTCTAACTCTATTCTCGCTATTACCATCCTCAGGTGGTCAAAGAAAGACACCTCAAATTGGTCTTGTGCCATCCCCTCTGGAGTCAGGTCTGACTGTCCTTTCTTCCCGGATCCAAACATCGGTGAGTCTCGGGGCCTCAGATTCCTCTTGAAGGCTGCATAAAGGATTTTGCGTTGTCCGGGCTTCATCCCATCCACGAACTGGCAAGTCACAGCCGTGAGCCAAAAAAGGGCATGGGGGATGTGGTGGACACCGATGGTTGAGTGGTTTTCTTGTGCATCCTCAAAACAAACATGCACAAAAAGACATTTGGACATGAACGGCCATCATCTCTCTAAGCAAACTTCCATGTGCAAACACGGTCAAGCACAGCAGTTGAAGAGCTCTTGAGTCCCGAACACACGGGATTGAGCGCATGACATCATACCTGGAGAAGGCGACCAGCTCCTTGACACTCGGCCCATGTAGACAGAAGAGAAAGCAGAAAGCACGCGCAAAAGAAAAGATAGAGATTGTTATCGTAGATGTTATATAGATATCCAAACTGTCCGAAAGACATGATTTCCTTTAGCAGGGTTGTGCTCAGACCTAGCATTTTGCTGCGAGAGCCTCAATGTCTTGTGGAGTTCCAGAAAAGTGTCAAGAAGCCAAAAAGCGATGAAGTGTGGTCATCAACTCTAATTAGATAAGCTGTGAATTCTAGCACCATAAGTCTGTAAACAAGGTCCAGATAAAAGACATTCAGGTTTGCAATCGCAAGGACCTAGCATAGAGCGATCTTCGAAACTCCAGGGAGAACCACCAAATGAGAGCAGAATCTTTGAAACTCCGTCACGCACAGAACAACTCTCCTGTGAACGAATGCTGCTAGAATGGCAGATTTGTGTAGGGTTTCCATGGTTCAGTCCATACACATATGGCCAAAGAGCACCAATTCACTCTCAACAAGCAGGCTGAAGAAAAAGTTGTCTTCCAACAATATAAGGGTACAGGGACCGGTTGTCTTGGAGCCTGCGCAATCCTCTCACTTAGGACACTTTGAGTCTGCACATCGGGCCGCAGCTCTGCCATCTTTAAAGTAGCTCTTTAAAGGAAGCCCTGCAATGCAACCATCATGATGGCATCGTTGTTCCTGTCTATCTGAAGTCATCCTCAATTCTTACTGAACTGACGTGTTAAAGGTCCAGGTAGAGCTTGCAAGGCGGATGTGGTGAACAGCGAGTCCCATTGGTTAAGTTGTGGTGCTTCTGGCAACAGCCATGAGCAAACGGAGAGATAAACATATTGCAGTCCTTGTTCACGAAGTCGGTGTAGCTGACAACCGTTTTGGAATGGTCAACTGCCTCCCGGTTGTCAATGGTCAACAGCATCCTTGTGGACTATCTGGGGGGTGTTTCCTCTGCATGTAAAGCATGGCAACTGTTGCGAATAGTTGTTCAATGCCGACTCATGACTTCGTCGCAAGACGCCTGAACTGGTGAGAGCCTCACAGAAGCTAGCACTGAGCCTCTGGCGTCGCCCTCCTTGTAGCAGTTGATCCACTCCTGCTGCGCTCGGTAAGCAAAGAAACCTACGAGTACCCAACACAATCAGAAGTCTTTGACTACCCCGCACTATCGGAATCGGATAGATTCAGAAATCGGAAAGCTTTAGATGTGCGTTCCGCTTGTGTGACTCAGTGAGACCAAGAACCGCAGATCGGCCTTTCGATCATCTGCCCTCTTCTTGTTGAACGCCAAGTCGATGAGCTCATCATCTTTGGGATTTGTCCATCTGAAGACCATCCTGACAAGAGGCATGGTGAAGGTTGGATCTGAGGCCGAATAATTGCCGGACAAATGCGGCGGTTCCATCCGGTGAACCGACACCAGGGGCCTTGAGGCCAGCATTCAGCACAATTCATATAATTAGCTGTGACACCATCCAAGGGGTAAAGGGTGCAGGAATCCAGGGTCCTGTGATCCTTGATGTTCTTGAAGTAGTCCTTGCCCTCTTTAGCCGTAGACGTGCCCAATCCTGTCCAATGCAGTTCTGTTTTTTATATAGGATGCATGGGTTCAAAAACTGACAGGTGAAAGGCCTTTGTAGTACTTTGTTCTCCAGCCCTTTCCTCCATTATTCCTCTCCTCAGCTCTACAAACATTCCATGGCAGAAGTGTGCCATGCTTTTCACGGGCAGAGAATCATCAAACAATATCAAACACCTGGCAACGCTGACCTAAGACTTGAATCCAAAGCTGAGGCAAGTACCTTCCAAGCCTCATAGTCTGCAACACTGAAGAACTGAACCTCATGCTGACCTCAGGATGTGTACTTGCCAAACAGGATGCAATGAATCAGTTTCAACCAATGGCCCAGGCTCTGAGGCCCGAGCCCTTGGTGACCTTCACGATGGGGGTGATGAACTCTTTCCTCGGCGATCGACTTGGTTAAATTAAGTTTCCCTAAAAACTCTAGGAATGTGATAACCAGATCATTAGTGCGAGCGCTTCTTCGAGGAAGCTCCCCCCGCCCTCAGGCAAGGGAAGCTTCCTTGAAGTAGAGTGAGCTATCCTGCGTCCTAGCGAGGAGCTTCCTATTGCTAGTAGCTTACTCCCTTACCCAATTAAGTAGGCGCCTACTTATTTACTGTAAGTAGGGAGGCAGGGTCTCGGGCTTAACAAAAAGGAACCGAAAATGACGTGACGAAGATGGCCAGGAAAGGTCGGCCAAGAGGAAGTCCAATCCCTGAAGGACTTCGTTGCGAGTCCTCCAGTCGACCAGTCCGTGATCTCACCAGGGTCTCTCCAAAAGCCTCCGAAAAGCCTCTCATGTCTTATTTTCTACCCAGGATGACCTAATTGAAAATGGTCAAAATGTTCGGGCGTTGGC